GGCCCCTTCCCCGCGAGCAGCGCGGAGCGGCCCGAGGGCAGCCCCGCCACCCTCCGCGGGCAGCCCGGCACGCCGAGCCCACCTGGGACCCCACAGCCGCCGAGGCCGGCGCCGCCCGCAGCGCCCCGGCTCCGGAACAGGAAAGCGGTGGGAGGCGCTGCGGGCGGAAGCGCCGCCCGGCCGGAGGGAGAGGCGGCATGAGCGGAGCGGAGCCGGGGCCCGGTGGGGCTGCCCGGCCCTGCGGGGCCTCCCTGCGCTGCTACCCGGCCCTGCCCGTGTGGGTGGTGGAGGACCACCAGGACGTGAGTGCCCCGCACTGGGCTGCCGTAACAGGGATGGGGACGCCCTCGGGTGGGGCATGGGGAGTGGCTTCGTTTGTGTGTGTGTTTGTTTGTGTGTGTGTTTATTAGTCCGTGTGTTTGTTTGTTCGTGTGTTTGTGTGTTTGTTTGTTCCTGTGTTTGTGTGTTCGTTCGTGTGTTTCTCCTCGGCGCGGAGGCTCCGTGTGGGGGATGGGAGCGGAGAGAGGTGCCCGGTGCGGTCACCGGCGGTCTTCCCTGGAGCTGCGCTTTCCCGTCATGTGTGCGGGTTCTGCCCGCTCCAGGCGCTTCCTTGGGAGCAATCTTSCCCTCCACAGCCATGCACAAACCCCAAACCTGCCTTCCGTTCCGCTGCCGAAACATGAATCAAGTGCAGTGCCCAGGTGACCTGATTTTCCTTCCCCATTCAGTGATTGAGCTGCTTATTGCCATGATCGCATTTTGGCATTTTTTAAAGTAATCGTTGCTGACTTTTTTTTTTCTTCTTTGTGTCATTAATTGCTACAGTTAAAATAATACCTACATTACGCTTCTGTTATAATTAGCTGGCTATTAGTGGGGTACTTGGAAACAGCCTTACCCAGTGTATGACATGTCAACAGAGGACAGGTAAATATAATCCCATCCCAACAAGTAGATTTACTCCCACTTGACGAGAAGTGTTAAATCTGGAGCTTTGTTTATTTTTCGTTGAGTCATTAAAAAAGGGAGTGAAGAAGGAATTGCTTTTGAGCTGCTGCTTCTGGCTTCTGATGGGATTTTTACAGTAACATAAACTGAAGCTTTAATCCTAAAATACCAGGCTCTTTATTATGTTCTTTGCAAAGAGAAAATATTCGTGTGATAAAGTTTGTTAAAGAAAACAATGTTACAAATGCAGTTTAATGCAGTTCATTTTTGCTAAGACTCACTGAAATATTTGATGCTGTGATAGCTGATTTTTCATGGTAGCCAAGGACTTAGTGTGTCACTGATAGGAATACTGAGATAATGTCTCTTAATGATTCTTCGTTTTAGTTGCTATATTTCTGTTTTCAATTAATTTAAAGTCTATTAATACTAAATATACACACTCTGTTTTTATTATATGAAGGTGGATGGATTGGTCTATTTTGCATAAAATATGGGGCTTTTTGTCCCAAAGTGTAAGAACTTCACAGAAAAATTTATATCAATCTGACAGTGATGTTCCTCCAGAGCCAGTGTCGGTAGCTGCATCATCATGCTTTGATTAATTACAGCAGTTGTCGTAGAGGAAACTTTTTTCTTAATCCAAATCAGGAGAACTTGCAAGGTTAGAGACCTTAGTCTCTCATGTCTCTTGCAATATGTACTTGCACTTATCTGAGGTGACCCCTCAATTTTAATTGAAAAGATTGTAGGTTGTTTAGTAGACCAGGTTTCTTCTTTCTTCCAAAGAAGTAAAAGCCATGGATCAGGGAATCCATGTTATTTTTAACCTTGTTTTATCTACTATTGCAACAGTACACATACTGTTCCGCCCATGCAGTTTGCAAGGTTTGTCATTTTAATCAGTTTTATGCCAAAAAAAAAGTAGCTCAGTTGATGTTGTAAGGTAGAGGTCACATATAATTTTTGTTGCTTCTTACAGTCTTCACATTCCCTGTATAATAGGGCTGTGATTCATAATCTTTATTAGATTTKCTCTGGCAGCCAAGACACTTGATGTCTTTTAACTGTGGAAGAGACTCTGTGTACTACAGTTCCAAGTAAGAGGTATCACAAATCCACTGTCAGTTTTCTCATTTTTACCACCCTGTATTATTGTAGTTTAGTGGTTTGCTATGCTRTAAATTGGTGAGTTGCCTCATCTCCYGTTTTTCACCCTTGTGAGTGAAGARCTTCAGCAGGGAATAAAATTGGGCAGTTGAGAAAGGTAATCTCTATTGCAGCCATTTAATCATGTAGGGATTAGGAATTAGTTCTTCAAGAGGSATAGGTTTAATAGTCAGCTAAACTTCAAATCATGGTGGGGTCAGTTTTAAGTCTGTATCAGTTAACTTACAAAACACGAGTAGCAAAATGTTTTTAATTTCACAGCACCCATGCATGGTGAGGAAACTTTATAGCATGGGGAAGGATATACAGAGGCAATGATCTGCAGAGGAGGAAAGGCATTCCTGGGGCTTAGTTGTAAATGAGAAAAAAAAAACCCAGCCTAGGAATTGAGTTGAACGGTCAGTGAGAAGAGGTACTGCARGCATGACTTCCTACAAAGAAGTAAAAAGGATGTGAAGCTGAGATTCTTCACCAGTTTCTCATCTGGAATACTTGGGCTTATGATAATTACTGTTCATCTACTGTTCAGTTGTCTTGCCACTGGAGTTATTTCTCCTTTATTGTTTTCTGTCTCCTCCTCCCTCTAACCCAAATTCTGAAGGAGTAAGAGTGGTGCTGGTGGTTTTGCTGCTAAAGACATTGCATTTTTCAGCCCACTGGTTATCATTAAGATGTTGTTATTCTTGTTGTTTTAGGTGCTGCCTTTCATCTATCGTGCCATTGGTTCAAAGCATCTTCCTGCCAGTAACATYAGTTTTGTTCATCTTGATTCCCATCCAGACCTTCTTATTCCTGTGAATATGCCTGCAGACACAGTGTTTGACAAAGAAACGCTTTTTAGGTAAGTTCTGGGTGCTGCATCAGAGCAAACTTSAAGTCTACTTCTTGCTGCCTTTGATTCAAAGTGAATATTGGTATGACTGCATAGGAGGGATGAACAAAAGAGATTAAGTCAGGTTCAAGTTGTATYTTCTGTCTTTTTACTTTTGCTAAAACTTTATTTTCAATGGAAAAAGTTGCACATCGAGCAATTGAGATGTATAAGTTTGCTTTGTGCATTTGCTCAGAGATACGATGATATCCCAAGTATTTCCTCTGGGTAACAGGAAAGCACTCTGCATGGATGCTACAGTCTACAGCTGTAGTTTTACAACTGTCTTTCTCTCTTCACACTGAAAAATTGACTTCGAGATTGAAATAACATATCCTTTGTTTGCATACTGAACATGYGATGTTGAACAAGCTTTTCCTATTGCAATCATAAAGACCATTATTTTCCCCCACCATCTAAGGTAGGTTGATAATAAGCTACAGAGTGATTGTCTGCTATTGTCTTTCTCTTCCAGTTTAAAAAATAAAAAGTCCCCTGTAAAAAGTCCCTCTCCAGCTTACTTGTAGTCCCCTTCTAGGTATTGGAAGGTCCTATAAGGTCTCTATGTAGCCTTCAGGCTAAACAACCCCAACTCTCTCAACCCGTCCTCATTGAAAGAGGAACAGGAAAGATACTCCAGCCCTCTGTTCATCTTCATGGGCTTCTGTGGGCCTGCTTGAACAAGTCCATGTAATTTTATGCTGGGGGCCTTAAGCTGGATGCAATACTCAGGTGTGGTCTCACAAGAGCAGAGTAGAGGGGCAGAATCACYTCCTGTAAACTGCTCATCACRTTTTTTTGTTGCAGCCCAGGATACGGTTGGCATCATACACATAAAAAATTTAAGGTCTTGATAATGAGGAAAGATGCTAATCCTGTGGATGTGGACTGMTCCGCATTAATTACTGAGATAATATTTAAAATCTACTTGGAGCRGTAAAACACACTCATGATGTCAGTTTGAAGTTACTTAGATGTTGATGATGTTCCTTGCACTTTCCTCTGATATATCAAGAGGACGTAGAATCACARAATCATTAAGRTTGAAAAGGCCTYCAAGATTATYGAGTCCAACCATTAACCTAATGCTGTCAGGTCTACCACTGAGGAATTTATAATCAAAGTGCTATGCTAAGAGTGAAGCTGATTCCACTCTGTCTGAACTTCATTATATTTACTGCTGGTTTGTCTTATGAATAAAGATTTCCCTCTTYTTCTTTCTTTGATGATGTTGCCCTTACATGGAGTGCTAATTTTAGGTGATTTGCATGGGGCCTTTAAGATGTGGAAGATGTTTGTTGTGTTCTTGATGTTGTTGTGTTTTATTTAGAGGGATAAAGTAATATTGCTATCTTCTCTCTCTGTTGGTTACAGCGAATTAAGTATTGAAAACTGGATTATGCCTGCTGTTTATGCTGGTCATATTTCTCAGGTAGTATGGCTTCACCCGCCCTGGGCTCAGCAAATCTCAGAAGGGAAACACAATTTTCTAATTGGGAAAGATGTATCGACAACAACRATCAGGTAAATTGTCTGGTGTCGTATATAAGTTATATAACAACCAGCTTTATAGCTTTTCATTGCATTTTTTGTGTTCTTGGATAAAGATAAAAATTTAATTTGYATTTATAATTTCCTTAGAACCTAATGAAGACACACGTGTGTGTCAATTTAGTCTTGGTCTAAATAGTAAAATTGTTATTTGGTATCAGCCATAACTCCGTTTTTCTAGCGTGAGTTTTTTTGTTCGTTTCAGAGTTTTTTGGTTTTTTGAAGTTAAAAAGTTAAACCCTAGTTAAGCACTGAAAAGGTACTCAGGTGRTGAATTCTCCATCCTTTAATAAGCRATKATTGACCTGGGCAGCCTCATCTAGCTTTGAAGTTAGTTCTGCTTTGATCAGATGATTGACTAGAGACTTCCAGTTGTTTGTTTAAGTCTTAATTATTCTGTGATTCATGTTCCAATCAGAGCCCCTCATCATTCTGCAGSATGCAGTTCATAATAATTTTGCATTCACCATATTCACTGCACTGTGATTTTCTACAGTTTTAATGGATATTTGCAAATCATGTCTCTTGTCAGTGTAACAGAATAAATCTTTTGAAGCAAGTTTAACAGAAAACAGCAGAGAAATGCTTTGTTGTACCACCTTAAATAAAACATTATAGCTTTACAATTCTGAATCTGAAGCATAAAGCAAACCTAAAWAATGTAAAAAGAAAAAAAAAGCTAATGCTTTCTATAAAAAGCTAGTGCTTTCTATTGCGTTCAATCGTTTAGCCAACATGTAAGAATACTTCATGATGGTCTCACTGCTCATTCACTGGTGGCTTAGCAATCATGAAAACAGCATTTCAGGTTTCCTTTTGAAGACAGTCCAGGTTTTCTTCAKGTTCTAGGCTTACTGAAACCATGGAGGTAGAAAGGAAAATAGTCCTCATAAATACAGATGTCCTGAAAGTTTTRATGACATGAGATGGATAGGCAATAGATACATTCTCTTCCTAAGTGGACACTAAGGTACTATGAGCTAATGTTGAAYCCATCAGAACTTCTGGGAAGATGTACTATGAATGTCTTGTCAACAAGATGAAGTTGTAATCCAGCCTTTCACCTTGGCAAGCTCAGRGTAATCCATCCACAAGACACTGGGGAACTAAGCTTCAAATTTTTCATGCTTAGGGAATTGTCTTTATGGTTGATTGATAGTGATACCCTGTAATCCAATGAAGCCTTACCACAAGCAAGCAGAAGTTCACCCTTCTCCTTACTCTTATCTTTATCTGAGTTTATGATGCTTAAGGCTTARTGTGCTTAAATACAGCTTGAAAATTCTGCTCTCTGGATTTTCACTGTAAATAGAAGTTTTGGTGTTGCTTTTGGTTGGTTAATTGTTTTRGTCTTTTATTTGAGTGAATTCAATTGATAGTTATTTATTTATCCTCTAGTTACAGTCTCTATCACTTAGTGAGTCTGTTGGAGGCAAAAAGTTAAATTCTACCTGTGAATTCATAATATCGCACTTGCACTAAATCAATATTTATGCATTTCAGGGCACTTCTCAAACCCAACTGTCATAATTTTCCTGGAAAATTAGAAAACCAAAATATCCATAGCTCTGCAATCTTATATGCCATAATARTGACAATATCTTGTCAATTCTGGATGTTGTCTTTAAAATGCAATTCAGTCACAAATTAATCTTAGTAGCACGTASTGCAGAATCTTTTTCTTATCCATCAAAACCTTGTAGGGATATCATAAAAAATAGAGTGAATTTTAATGTATTTATTCCATTATAAAGAAGTAGAAAAACTTTCATTTAAAAAACTGAGGATTAAAAGAAATAATTTTATCTGCACAGTTTTATTGCTTTCATTACCAATTAAATATCTATTCATTCTTCTCTGGATCCCTAAAGTATAAAATGCTTCTTCCTAAGCTCTTAGCCAAGATGTATATTAACTGTGAGTTATTGTCAATTGTAGGGTTACGGGCACAGATCATTACTTCTTAAGTGATGGTCTCTATGTTCCTGCTGATCAGCTAGAAAACCAGAAGCCTTTAAATTTGCACGTCATTCTCATCAATCCTACTGAATCATCAAACAGCCATGAAGGAAATGGTGAAGTAGCATCTGCTAAAAGACTGAAGCTAAATACAGATGACACAGCAAGCACCACTTCTGCCTCTTTAGTGGCTCCTGGTGACCTTGATCACATCATCCCGAGTGTGAACAAAAAGGAAGAACAAAATACAGGTGCCCAGAATGGGGCAGAAACGTTGTCAGAGTGCTCAGCTTCAAGCTGTCTCAAAACCAATGAGTGCCCAATGAGAGACATTGTTAGAGATGTCTGCCAAGTACTGCAGAAAGGGGATGCATATGTTTTGGACATTGACTTAGATTTTTTTTCAGTTAAAAATCCATTCAAAGAAATGTACACACAGGTACGCATAACAATTGAATGGCCTCATACCATTCATAGAGAGTCCCAGCCTTAGTAATTTATGTCTATGGAGAAACTCTCATCCAAGATAAATTAGCAGATTAKCTGATCTGGGTTAATGACTCATGGTAATATTTTAAAGAGATACTTGTTAGAGACTATACATGGTAAAAAAAATACAACTACCAGATAGAGGGAGTTTCCTAGACTTGATATCAGTATTGAGTGTACATGCAAACTCAGGGGGATACTCCTGCTTCTTGCTTGGRACATACAGGTTGCGCTTGGATTTCCAGAGGTTACCTTCCATGTACCCACAGCAAGACTCATCAGGGAGGGATGATAGATTTTATCATTTTTACCCTCTGTAACATGAGCTTTAGAAAGCCACCATGGTATCAGGAGACTGCCTTTCAAAAGGCACAGTAGTGGTGATTATCCAAAGAGTGGTAGCTTGTCCTGWTGAGAGGCTGTTATGCTCATTATTGTCTTCCATACTAGAGTAGGGAAATGATCCCTTTTTGAWAAAGGAAGGCTTTGACAATTCGGTTTCTCTTGAAGAGTAATTTTTTTCYTTTTTTTTCTTTTTCAAAGACRGAGTATGAGCTTTTACAAGAGTTGTACAATTTCAAGAAGCCACATAAAAATGCAACAGAGGTATGATGCTTCCTTGTGGAATGTATGAAGGAATGATTCTTTTTATTTACCCAATGAAAATGAGTTACGACAACAGGAAGGAACCTATCAAAGGTGCTTAATGAAGTGGTCTCACATTTAGCTATGCAGTTAAATGCTAATTAGCAGCATCTTAGCAATTCTTTTCTATTAAATGTTTTGATTAAACATGTGAATTGCATAAATATTTAGCATGAGTGAAAATTGTTTTTTGTAAACAAATGGTAAGTGACAAGGAAGGAATGAAAATATAATAAGTCACCAGCAAACTTTTCTTTTTAGGGGTCAACAGGGCTTAGGCTTAGTGGGTTGGTTTTCTTTTGTTTTTTTGGTGGACAGTTTTTTGGCTTTTTTTTTTTCTTTTTGTTTTTTCTTTTTTTTCCCCTACTCCCAGGATCTCCCTTTCTTTGCCCTCGTTGCTCTCTCTTGATAGTCAGAGCTGTGATGAACATGTACTTGGTGTTTTACCTTTTTGCTGAGATGTGGAAAGGACAGTATTATGCCACTGTGCCTTTCATTTTATGTGCTGTGTGTTTCTAAAACATGGAAATACAAGCTTTCATAATCTCATCTGGACACTAATACAGAGAGATTCAACACAAGTATCACAAATTAACGAAACCTAATTAATGTATGTGAATAAATAGAGATATGTCAAATATTTGACAATTGATTTTTGTATTTCTTAGTCAATCAGCAGTAAAACCAGGTACATATTTAAAAGGTGCACTTTTTTGGCTTGTTGTGGGAAAAACAGAGCAAAGTGAGGTGATTTATTCTGAAGCTATATGAGTTTCTGCAGGCATTTATTATGATCTTCTTGAAAAGATGTGCTGTAGGAATGAATTGGTTGTTTCTGATTCCCCAYTTCCAGTAGATCAATCATTACAGAATYTAAATCATAGGGTAAGTCATGATGTTCTTAACTGGTTGTTTTTTTCCTAACATATTTTCATGTATGCTTATTTAAAGGAAGACTTGCTGGATTGTGTTGAAAACCGTGTTCATCAGCTGGAAGATCTGGAAGCAGCTTTTGCAGATTTATGTGACAATGATGAYGAAGAAACCCTGCAGAAATGGGCTTCATATCCTGGGTAGGAGATTTAAGTGGCTTAAATTGCAAACAGAAGTTTGAGAATTGATTAGTCCAGCGTTTTGATAACCGAAAAGGATAGGATCTATGCAAGTGTTCCATTTTCCTTTAGTTCTAGAAGAGAAAGAGACAAAACAAAAGGAAAGGCAGTCTGCTGCCTTCAGCACCAATGTAMGCTTTGGAAGCTCAGTCTTGTACAGCTTCCTGCAAGCTCTGTWGTCTGTGGGTGGAGGGATATTTGGTGACTAAAACCTTCATCAGTGTGTAGCACAGCTCTCAAAAAAAGCAACAAGCCAAGGAGGACATGGAAAAGTTTTTTGGTGCTCCCAAAGGTTGTCCTTTCTTTGGAAAAATGGAAGTTAATGAAAGCGTATCTGAGCAACAGTCTCCTCTAAATATYGGAACTGCATCACTCTGCTTTTAAACTAAATGTTTTCAGCTGAAAAGAACAGGGAAAGTCTGAGCTTTTGTTTGATAGGAAAATMACTTATTTTCCACATCAAATGCAGCAGTTACTGTCCAACCTCTGTAACAGTGACAAGAAGTATTTCCTATGAAGTTCTTATGATTTTTCAGTTACAACAGCTTCTCTGCAGGTCTGCCCTAAAAGAACCCCAAGGAGGACTTCYCAGTGGCAAGTAACTTCATATACCTGGTGAAACAGTACAATAATACTSATAATTTCCATTTATGCAGGTGCAAGATGACACAGCGAGGCAAATTTCATCTTCAAATCCTAGACCATAATGTCTTTCCTCTTTTTTCGTCTCCTTTTTTTTACCCATTTAAGGTATATGTATGTGTTTCCAACTGATTGTAACAAATTTTTGTTTTAATTCCAGAATGAAGCCACTTGTTCAACTAGTTCACAGTTTGAAAACCAGGATGGAAAGCCCAGACTATGAAATGGTAGGTGGCAAAGTAAAAGAGCAGAAAGCAGGCAGATGTCAAAAGCATAACTTCAACAGGAAGGGAGAGTCATACTTCCCTTCAAACTTGCTTCTTGATTCAGGATTTTGTGAGATTTTCCAGGTAGTTTTCCTGGGGTTTTAAGTCTTACTACTTAGACTAGTTTTTCTTTTCAAAGCTACTAAAATTCAAGTCTGCTTGTCTGTCTATATTTAGGCAACATTGGTTGATCTTCCAGGATTGTGATGTCTTAGGCTGCACTGTGAAATTTCAGCAGTCTGTTGATTTTCTTTGTAGAACTTCAAATAAGGTGCCTATTTGTAAAGTATCAGAGCTATATCATCTTCAAGGGCTGCAGCATACTGTGAATTCATAAGAAGAGGTACAGTGTACTGGAGATAATGAAAATATCCATACAGYCTCCAGAACTGTACTTGCTTTGTTTAAAGAGCAAGCTGGGGGGGAAAACCCCCACASCTCTTACTGTCTGAAGAGGTGTAAGGTACCTGATGTGCTAGGGATGGTGTCCTGAAGAATTTCTACACACATAAGCTRTATCAATAATTTGTCAACAGAAATTAAATCTCTCTTTAATTTACCCATAGGTCCATCAGGCTGGTCTGACCTGTGATTATGTCGAACTTCCTCACCATGTTAGCACTGAAGAGGAGATTGAAGGCCTCATACAGTCCATTAAAGTTCTTCTGACAGATCTGCCCAAGCCCACACTTGTGACAGTTGCTCGGTAAGACAATGCAGATGCTTTTACTTTAAAATACCCACAACTATGAGTATTTGAAAGTAAATACTCCACGACAATGCTCATGAAACTAAATGATCCTGTCAATGTAGCACTGGTTCTGTCTTAAGTTCTGTATAAATGGAAGCCTTGTAGAGCAGTGAAAATTGACATTTGAAAACATTGATCATAAAACAGTGAAATCATCTGCAGAGTTTGGGGGGAGTTCTGCACTGGTGGCCAGTTTTAAGGGGCTTTAGAGTAGCTGGCACAGATTGCAAAAGCAATGATGGCTTAATCAGCTTCAGCATAGGTTATATGAAGCCTGTGATGAGGTCTTGTGTATGTTGGGCTTGGTAGCTGTCACTGGCGTTCGTACATCTCTACCTGCATTACTTGAGCTAATTAGAGCAAGGCTGGCCTGGGCTGAAATCCCACCTTTCTTACTCTCTTGCTCTAGGGTTTGTTATACTACAGACAAGTTTTTTGTTTCAGTGAAACTTTTGCTGGGACTAGTTTTCATTTAGTAGGCTGAAAGGTCTAGTGAAGCTTTTTGTTACGGGGTGAAAATCATGCTTCCAGGACACGAAGTGTATTATTTGGACTAACAGGATGGAGTTTGAGGCCAGGGACTGTTCTGAAAAAATCTAATTTGAAGACCACAGTGTACCTCTTGACAAATGGTTGCAATTTAATCTTTTAGAAATCCTAATTATGCCCTTAAAGGCAAGGCAACAACAGCAGAAGCTGACATGAAACTGRTTTTGTCAGCAAGAACTAGTATGGCTAATACCTGCAATAAAAAAAAAAAATCTGTATTCCCTGTGCTAATTGCAGGGTTATTATCCACTGTTGTGGAGAAAGTAGAATCATCTCTGAAGATCTTCATAGATAAAAAATTCAGGAAATCTCAGCTCTTCTCTTTTACTAGTGTCTGTTTGAARTTGATTAATAGAAACTGTAAAAACTGCTGTATACCAGATATTGTGAAGATCTATTTTTCAAGTTTTCCTACCTACTTTACTGGTAGCATTTGAATTTTTCAATCATAATTTTGTGCATGTCTGTTAATTAGAGCATTTACTTGAACATTGACTGCCAGTATATTCTATGTCAGATTCAGGAAGAGAGTAGAATTGGAAAGATTAGGTCATGTTGCTGATCTGCTCCAGACTTTCTATTAAGCTTAAAAAGTAGTGATGAGAAGCACAGCACTTTGCGTTGAAGGGATACTGGGAGGGAAAACTTGCCACAGTATGAAAATAGCTTCAGCCTGGCCACAGAGCACTGCAGGAATGCACAGTATGGTCAGGGTGACGATATCTGTATTCTCATGTTTTTTTCTTTTACAGATCAAGTTTGGATGACTATTGCCCTTCAGAGCAGGTTGACATCATTCAAGAGAATGTTCTCAGTTTACTCCGTTCAGTGTATGGCTCTCTGGATGTGCACTTAGATTACGCAAGTCCTTCATCTTCTTCGTGACCTTTCTTCATGTGTTGCTGTCTAATGCAGTGGATTAATTTAAATTGCATGTTAGCTGTGGTTGCAAGGGAAGACTACTGTTATTTCAGCAGGTGGCACTAGAACCCARGCTGACCCAGAGCTAGGTTTGAGTTGCACGGTTTTCTCCAAGTCRGCTGCATCTGAACTGGCAGTTATCTGTTTGACTTTGTTCAAATTAGTTCTGTAATCATGATTTTTACTGTCTTGTTTGTTAAAATTGGTGCAAGAGAAACGACTTTTTGGAGAGGGTTTGGGAATGGGTTGTCCCATTTCTTTGTGTCTGTAAAAAATAAAATACATAATTTCTTAAAATGGATTTCTATTGTGTATGTTTTTTACTCAGTGAGTAACAGACTTGCTCCTGAGTTGCATTATATCTTTAAAAAAATCATCAGCTGTTGGCTTCTGCCCCATCCACAGAATATAATTTATGTTTATATTCTGTTTCATTAATATTCTCTAATTTTGCCTTAGAGTATTTTATTGGTGGCTCAGTTAATATCCCTAATGTACAGACATTGGCTTGGTATTTTCACTGTTACATAATCTTTAGGATCAAAAATTATGTGTGCATGTGCATGCTTTTATCTTTTAAATCCTATAAGGAATTGATGGTTTCCTCAGAAACAAAGATTTAGCTTCAGTGAAGTCAGCAGCAAAACTTCTGTACCAAGTTTTCACTCATTTTTGTATTGCTATTTGGGAAATAACAGCTTTAGGACTGTTTAATTTAGAAATCAATATAGTCGTAGAGAAAACTGCCACTTTCCCAGGAAAAAAAMCCCACAGGATTTATTGGGAATTAAACTCAAACAGGAAAGAGAAAATGTCACGTAGAATATTTTATTATGAATAAATTTTGCTTGTTATTTCTTCTGAAGTAACAGAGTTCATTTCCTTCCATTACTGTTTGCTTCACAGAGACTTTGTGTACTTGTAGAATTTTTTACTACCTCTGCTGTCGTTGTAAATGACTATATTGTAGAYTGTATATTTATAATTCATTTTAAATATTTGTTTCAGTAGAATGGATTCCACGACCATGGATCCATTTTATTTGCATTTTTATCATGTGTGTGTCACATGATGTGCCTAGCCTTGGAGCCAATTTTATTAATACTTCAWAAAYTATAAACAGCCATGCATYGCATACAGCAATTAGTGCAGACAGRTCATGTGCTGCTTGTGTAAAGATTGGGGTTTTTTTTGAAGTTAAAGATTCATCATGCTGGGCTTTGCATAAGGTTGTAGGAAACGAAGAAAAACCATGTGGGTCATGGCTGAGCTCCTCCTGGGTGTGCAGGTGAGAGCCCCTTTTCCTTGGGGAAGGCCTGGGCAAGGGAGGGCTGCCTGGCAGCTGGGGTTGAGGGATCCTGCTCGAGGAGCCTTGAGCATGGACCAAAGTCCACAGTGCCTGCACCTCTGCCTGGGTGCCACTCGGGTGCCTTGTTTGGTGAGGTAACAAAATTAAATTTGCTTCTTCGCATTTTATCTATGGTCTTGTGGTTGCTCCYGTGCCCTGCCTCTGCTGGCTGATGCACATGCCTTCACCATGCTTCTGTAGAATCAAAGTAACATCATGAATTGTCTGTTTGTTATCCAGATTATTTAAGAATTCTTCCTTTCAAGCATAGTTCTTGTTTATGAATATCAAATTGTTATCATCTGAAATTTCTGACTACCACAGCCTGTGGATACATGCCTGAAAATGCCAGTCTTGCATAGTAACAAAGACAATAATTTCTACATTAAGGACATTTGCAAGGTTGTTTTTTACTTYGGGCAAAAGTAATCAAGCCAAGCCAGAAACAGGTATCTCTTTATTTCTCACTTTTGTYCTATATGGCTTGTTTATTAACCAGATGTACAAATCCCCCATTCTCTGTGTCTGCCTCGTTTTCCTCTCCCCTTATTTCAGTATGTGTTATGCAGAACAAGGCAGTGAAATCACAATGCGTAACTCCTCTAATCAGTGCTGTAGGGATGGGACAGGAAGGCCCATTAGAAATGAACCCACTTGAGGACATGAGYGTAGCAGCAGCATTAAAGTCAGCAGCCTCATACTGTCTCGTCTCTAGGTGCCCCTGCCAGCTCTGCTACTCCCTTGGGCAGCACTGAGCAGTCAGGATGCCCCCTTTGGAGGGCATTTGCAGACACTCCTCGGTGGTAGAGATAGTTCTGTCTTAATCAACCTGAGCATTTTGATATAAAGRGTAAAGTTACCACACATTTGTGTGCAGTGTGAAATAGGGCCTTMGAGCAGATACACTGAGCAGCCTCTGTCTTCCCTGTGCATCAGCAGCTCTTCACCCCAGCAACTCCCACCTTCCCACTGTGGAACAAAACGAGCTTTTCCAAGAAGAATGAGCAGGGGATGAGTCAGATGGCAGAGGTTACCACGTTCTGTTACCATTTCTTCCTCTCCGTGAGGCTTCTGTGTCTCTGTGGCAGCTCTGTCCCTTGCCTTCTGCTGGTAACTGCACTGTGAGTCAATCACCCTAACCTTGGTCAGAGCTGGACTGGAGGCTGGAGACCCAACTCCATAAATATTTTCTTTCTGCTGCGTGGAAGAAAAAGATAAAAGTGTGGAAGAAAAAGATAATTCAGCAAGATGAGTCTTGGGGGAGGAGACAGTTCCCAGGAGGTATTTAAAAGGTTTGGGTATGTGGCACTTAGGGCTRTGRTTTAGTGATGAACTTGGCAGTTCTGGGTTAATGGTTGGACTCAATGATCTTAGAGGTCTTTTCAAACCTAAACAATTCTATGGCTCTGTTWGTAGGAGATCCAGAACATGGGTCTTTTCTCTGTTTGCATCCAAGGGATAGCCCTGGAAGGCCCCTTTCTGTGCTCTTCGGTGGCCCCTGTTGTCTTCATCAGTACCACAAACCCTTTGCATGTCCCAGCCACTCTCAGGAGGAAGGATGRAAGACATGAATTTTCTGCCTTCATCTTTCAGTGTCCCTTTCAGGAGGAAATCCTCTGTCCCCACAGCAGAGGTGCAGCTCCCATGCCCCAGTGTAGATGGCACGTCTGGGACCCAGCAAACCCAGTCCCAGCTCCTGCTTTGTCACAGACTTCCTCACTGTCATTAGGATCAGCCACAGACCTGTCCTGGGAGAGAGGCAGACTGGCTTAGGTGTACAACGACCCCAAGGGAGAATCACAGCACCCCCACAAATGTATATTAATTCCTTGCCTGTTTTTGAGGCTGTGGACCACTGTCTGCCCTGTTTCTCTGTCACAGGCACAGCTCACAGWGRTRCTGGATCCCTTCACTGGTGCTCACYTCCCTGCAGGCTTACAGGGACTCCCACCTCCCCTCTCCCTCAGAAAAGGGAGCTCTTGTCTGCARAGGAAAGCTTTGTTCACCATATCCCCAGGTATTCAAGAAGTGGCTCTGGTCTGAATTTTTGTCTGGTTCTGTGTAGTTGTTGGGTGTTTTTTTCACAGTTTAATTGCAATTTACTTTGAGTATAAATAATTCCAAACAGGGATACTTAGCCCTCTCAAGGAAGGAGGCATCTCACTGGAGAGAGACAAATCATTCCAGCCTTCCCTTGCTAAATGCTAGTTRCATATGTTTCAGCAGCTTCCATAAATATCCTAAGGGTTTTGCACATCTTCTACCACAGGGGATTGCATTGTCTGCTGGGCTGCTTTCTTAAGGATTGCATACCTTCAGCAGAATTGTTAATATTGCATTCTGCACCGTGTCCTTGGCAAAATAAATAAATATTCATTTGTGTTTGTCTTTCAATGCCTTATGGAATTAGGTCCATTATGTGCAAACTTAGGGCTAGACCTCCTAAAACAGGTCTAAAATATGTCCATCTCTTACCTGCCCTAAGCAATACTAAACYTTAGATTTATTCAATGTACAATGCCACAATGCACAGTCAAGAAATATCTCCCAGCAGAGCTACTAATATGGAGCTATTATGCTGAATATCACTGCACTATATCTTTTCTAGTGTTTATGTCCTTTGTACTCTGCTTGTTACCCAGCATCTCTCCCAGCCATTCTTGTAATTGCCACAAACGTGTTTTGGACAGCACAAATTTAAAAAGACTCCAAGGTGTACCAAAGCCTTCTGGAACACAGTTACCCTGCACCAGGCAGTCCTTCCCCGCTGCTCGATTCTGCTCAGCTCTGAATACTAATGGCCAAGCTAACTCGAATACCTGACTTTAATGTATCAAAGCCTGCCTTGGGACTTTCTTCTCTTTAGTTCAACTTTATTTATTTTTGCACTCTAAGCACAAGTCACCAGCTACCCAGTTCCCACTAACACTGAATTTCTGAAATTATTTGTGTAAGTCCAATTGCCCAAACTCAGATGCCCACTTGTTCCAGGAAGTCCACTAGTGTCTCTGAGCTACTCCCTACCTTGGCTCTTGGCCAGTCATTAAACTGAGACCTGGCTGGTCATTCTCAGCAAACCCTGATTTTTTTGATTTTGTGTATCTTTTTTGAAGTGGCATTTTAGGAATATCTGTAACTAAAATCAGAATATGAATGCTTTTTATTTCCATGACTCTAAATGCTATTTCATTTCAAGTAAATATGGCACTGCTTAAAGCTAGCTCATTAAAGTTCCTGAGAAGTGCAAGTCAAAAACTGATGCATTGGTGACTTCCATTTCCCAAATAGTCTGAAAGTTTCAATGTAGGTGACAATAACATGTCAGACAGAAATACTTCACTGACAGGACTTTTTGTTTCCTTGTTTATAAGTTGCAAGACTAATAGAAATAAGTTTATAAAAYATGTATAGTACACTGGTTTTCTTAGGAAATTTGACAGAATAAAATCTACAGATATAAAGTTTTGCCTTTGGTGATGTTATGGATGCTGCTTCTTTCCTAACATGTCACCCCATGTATCATTAGACAGTGCAGCAGTATATAAGTTATTCCCTTTCTTTTCCTCTCAGATTTCAAGGAGGTTAGCAATCCTAGTAACAAAACTCTGTTCCTTCCCCTCCCATGTCCTCATCCTTGGGGTTTTTTTAATCCACTTCCTTTGCCTTGTTTCTCTCCCTTTTTTCCTTCTAAGCCTTTAATTCGTTTGATATTTTCTCTCTCTAGATAACAGACCAATACTCAGCTTTAAAAACTCAAAAGGCACAAAACACCTCACAAYGCTGAATGCTGCAGAATTAAACATTCTTTAGCCACCTTTACTGGCAGTATTATACATGGTTCTTTAAATCACAACCTTGTGCACATTGCAGAATAAGTAACACTAAAGTCATCAAACAAGATGTCTTATTAAAGAGCTATTTATAGTTGTGCTGCTTAAGCCTGTTGCCAAAATGTCCTCACAA